TTTAAGAGAAAATCCATTTGCCTCGTTAAATCAAATTGACGAGGAGTTGAATCGACTTGAGGAAATGAGAGTTCTGGCAAAGGTTGAATATAGTGAATGGGCATCTCCCACAGTTTATATTAAAAAAAGAGCAAAGAAATTCGTGTATGTGCTGACTTCTCTACGGGGCTGAATCGCGCCCTAAAGGATCACCATTATCCCCTTCCAAGTCCAGAGGAGATATTCGCTAAGCTCACTGGAGGAAAATATTTTTCTAAGATTGACTTAAATGACGCATATCTAGAAATATCTGTGGACAAAGAATGCTCAAAGCTCCTTTGCATAAACACCCACAAGGGTTTATACAAATTTTTAAAACTTCTGTTCGGGGTTAAGGTCACCTCTTCCATTTTTCAACAGATCATGGACACAATGTTAAATGGTCTGGATTTTGCGGTGGCATATCTCGATGACGTCCTAATGAAAAGCGAGATCATCAAGGAACACAGATCGCATGTCTGGCAGGTGTTCATGAGAATCCAGGATTACGGATTCAAATTAAAAGACGGGAAGTGTGAGTTTTTCTTGGAGAGGATTAAGTACTTGGGGCAAATAATTGACAAAGACGGAAGACATTCTGACCCATATAGGGCAATGGCAATAAAGAATATGCCAGCACCAGAAAATGTGTCAGCTCTTCAAAGTTTTTTAGGTCTTGTCAATTATTACAACGTTTTTGTCTGAGGAATGCACAGTTTGAGAGCCCCACTTAATGAATTACTGAGAAAAGATAAAGAGTGGGAATGTACAACCAAATGCCAGGAAGCATTTGAGAAAATAAAGGCGGCCCTTACATCAGATCTGTTCCTGACTCATTACAATCCAAACCTTGATATCATTGTAGCCTAGCTCCTACAGCATCGGGGCGTGCATTTTACACAAGTTAAAGAATGGATCGGTAAAGACAATTGCTCATTCATCTAGGACACTATTACCAGCTGAAAGGTGTTACTTACAAATAGAAAAGGAAGGCTTAGGAATCATTTCTGCAGTGACTAAATTTCCGCGATTTATTAATGGAAGATACTTATTGTTGCAGACAGACCATCGTCCACTCCTTACTGTCTCTGGATCAAAAAAGGGTCTGCCAACACATAATAGGCTGAAAAGATGGGGAACCATTCTCCTCAATTATAAATACAAAATGGAGTTTCTCCCATTCACTAAAATCTGCCATGCAGACGGGTTGTCTTGATTGATACCTAAGTATGCTGAACTCCCGGAAGACACAGTCATTGCTGCCATAAGAACAGAGGTCAAAATAAAAAGTACCTTGTGCAATACTGTCAGGGAGCTTCCTATAACAATAGACAAGATAATAGACAAAGCGTCCGATGATGAGTTCTTAAAGGAAATAAAGGACAAACTAAATAGTAAAGACCAAAATATCTCAAAAGTTTACTCACTCTGTAACGACATACTAATGTACAGAGATAGTGTAGTAATCCCATCTACACTACAAAAAAAGAACATTAAAGGAATTCCATGTTGGCCATCCGGGAACTTCAAGAATGGAGAGTCTGATGAGGAGTTACATCTACTGAACCAACATGGACAAGGATATAGTAAACACTGTAAGATCGTGTAAAGGGTGTGATTTGGCTGCTAAAGCACCCCCAATAAAATTCAATCCCTGGCCTTAAACCGACCATCTATGGTCGCGGATACACATTGATTTTGATGGACCACTTGATGGTTTTTATACCTTCTAGTAGTTGACAGTTATTCCAAGTGGCCAGAAATATTGAAATGTAAGAAGCTGACTGCAGAGGTGACAGTAAATTTTTTGCACAAGCTATTTTCCTGTTTCGGAGTTGTTGACTGTATTGTAATAGACCATGCCACACAGTTCACATATTACCATGGCACCATATCACCCAAGACGTAATGGACAGGCAGAGCATTTTGTGGACACTTTCAAGAGAGCACCGAGGAAGGTGAGAGGTACTCCCACTGATATGGATGTACAGCAGTTTTTGCAGGTCTATCGTGTAATCCCTAATAGCAGTGCTCCATCTGCCAAGACGCCAGCGGAGGTCATGCTTGCCAGGAGAATAAAATCGGCATTTGACAAATTCCTTCTAAGTGAAACGAAAGCGGGAAATAGGAATAAAGTGCTTAAAAAGCATTTTAAGATTGGTGAAAAGGTTTTTTTTCATGTATTTGGGAATAATGAAGCTCACTGAGAGATAGGAACAACAGACAGAAAATTGGTAACATGATTCACATAGTTCAAGGACTGAACTTTATGCACAAACGTCATGTAAAACAAATTAGAAAATGGTATGAAAGTGTAGTCAACAGGAATCCCATAGAAGATGACACTGTGGACGTCGTCTTTGACGCATTTGACGTTCCAATACTGCAGTCAGTGCCAGAGCTTAGAAGGCCCAAAAGAAAAAGGAAATTTACAGAACCTTTAGAAATTAACCCAAGAAGAAAAAGATATTGAACATCTTTCATTTCATACCATGTCTACAGAAAAAGGAAAAGAATCAGTAAAAAAAAAAAACCATCTCCTCACTTATGAACTTTGAATTACCAGAAAAGCACAATATGCATTGGACTATTGGAAATTATTAACATTGTAATTTACCATTAAACTCCTCTAATTTTTCATTTTTTAGGAATAATGAATAGGGACCTTACTAAAAAGAGACTGTTGTTAACACGTACAATGTTTGTTATAAAACTAAAAAAAAAATTTGAATGTAATTCCTGTATATAGCTTTTTCAAAGTGGTTGTTTCTGATTTTTTTGGGAAAAAGGGTTTGTTTGGTTGAATAAAAAGTATTGTGTGGTAATTATAAATATAGACTCCATATATAGTTAGGCTGAAAAGAGGTATGTTGGGGTGCCCTCTCTCTAAACAGTCTATGTTGGACCCTTCCACCTACTATAAGATTAGTATGAGAGAAGACCTTGGAAGAACAGTTGAATAGATTGGACGCTGGGTCAACCATCACACACTCACTAGTCGTGTAATACTCTTCTGTTGTACTTACTGTTTAATATATGATATATCTGCAACACTTGTTTTGTTATTTCTTTAACCATTTATTTGGTCACAAAATCTTGGCGATGAAGGATTCGAAGAAACGGACTTCATGTTAAATCATAAAAAAATTTACTTGGAAACAATATTTTCGAAGTTCACTAATTATGGATTCTTTTGAGAACCACTGATAATAATGAATACTGAACAATTGGCAGCGTTGGTATGTTTTCAGATTGTAACATATAAATTAAGATATTTTAATCATTTCACCCTAGGCAAGGTGATAATGTGACTAAGAAACAAGGGGTTACTGAGACTGAAAGAGAACGAGAAGATTTTATCAAGTACAAAGGACAATAAAAGAATGGGATTAAAGCAAAACGAAGATCGTGATTAATGTTGCATTTATATTTCGAACATTGTACATGGCAGGGAAGCAAGAAGACAGACGAGAGTTCCACAGGTGAGAAGTGCGAGAAAAGGAACTATTCGAATAGACTTACATCTGGCTAATTCAACAGTAAAAAAAATGAGACCTAGCAGCTAATCTAGTAATATTAGAACAATTGCTATGGAAATATTTATAGAAAAGACAGAGAGAAGCCACATCACAGCAGTGGGAAAGTGACAGAAGTCAAGATGCCAGGTCAGAACCAATAACATTACAGACTTTTCTTTGGATATATAGCTGGAACACCAGAGCAGATATAGCAGCAATATTGGATAAATGGCAGATCTATAAATGGATTCTGATGAGAAAAATTGTCTGGCACAACACCAACCTTATCAGCAACAGACTTAGCAATTGATTCAATATAATCACTCAACTTAATGTAAGTAGAAAGCATAAGACCATGAGAAAACATGAAAAGTTCATCTTCTGTCTTTATATATATATATATATATATATATATATATATATATATATATAAAAGTGAATATGCATAATATCCCACGTCAATAGCATAACTCAAAGTTTCATGCAGATGTGCAATCTGCAGATTCAGAATATTTTTTTAGAATAAATTTTTTTAAAAAATTTTTCATCTTTTGAACTTAAGACATTGTGAGATAGAAATTATAAATAATTAATTTAAATATTATAGACAACAATAATAAAATGTACAAGTCCTAACACACAATTTTAAATCAACACCACGAGAATACGAATTTCATAACGCTTAATGGTCAGTGAGTATTTTGCAGCTGAAGATTGTATATCCACATGAAACTCTGAGTCATGCTATCAACGTGGGATATTATGTATATTAACTAATATATACTTAATAGCTCTGTTATATAACATTGAGCACTGTTTTTATAACATCTGAGAAAAAATATATATCTATGTGCAAGTATATGTACATATATGTATGTTTTTATCATACACATATCTCTCTCTTTCTTTATATATATATATATATATATTGTGTGATTGATTTATATTCTATGGCTTATCAATATTTTTCAGGTTATTTAAAGGCAGAAAATATTTTTAGATTGTCAGAATTTATTGTAGAGGATAACGATTTTTAATGAAATAAGCTGTACTAATTAACCCATAGCTGGGGAGAGGAGAATTTGTGGATTCATATTATTTTTTCAGAATGACATTTGTGAACCTGACTCCAATTTTCAATTCAGATCTTTTATCCATTACACCATTCACACATCTAAGCTTAAAGCACCTGTTATTCCCAAGAGGGTATTCATCTACATACAGACCAGACTCAACAATACTTAATTTCATTGACTGTAAGAGAACTGGTGTCTCAATGTGATATGGCTGTAAGCTTATATATATATATATATATATATATATATATGTATAGTATGACTAGTAGGAATCAGAACAGCTTCAATCATCTTTTTTTCTCCCTATCTCTTACCATGACCTTTTTTATGTCTCAAAGTATTATTTCTTCTCCCCACATGTCTCATTTCTTCTCACTATACACTTGCCATGTCTCATTTCTTCTCCCTATACACTTGCCATGTCTCATTTCTTCTCCCTATTCATTTCTTCTCCCCTATACACTTACATGTCTCATTTCTTCTCCCCTATACACTTGCCATGTCTCATTTCTTCTCCCTATACACCATGTCTCATTTCTTCTCCAATATACACTTTGTCTCATTTCTTCTCCCCAATACACTTGCCATGTCTCATTTCTTCTCCCTATACATGTCTCATTTCTTCTCCCTATGTCTCATTTCTTCTCCCTATACACTTGCCATGTCTCCCTATTTCTTCTCCCCTCCCAATACATTTGCCATGTCTCATTTCTTCTCCCATATACTTACTCATTTCTTCTCCCTATACACTTGCCATGTCTCATTTCTTCTCCTATACACCATGCTTGTCTCATTTCTTCTCACACTTGCCATGTCTCTTTCCCTTCTCCCCATGTCCTCATTTGCCATGTCTCATTTCTTTCTCCCTATACACTTGCCATGTCTCATTTCTTCTCCCTATACACTTGCCATGTCTCATTTCTTCTCCCATACACTTGCCATGTCTCATTTCTTCTCCCTATACATTTCTTCTCCCAATACACTTGCCATGTCTCATTTCTTCTCCCTCTCATTTCTTCTCCCTATACACTTGCCATGTCTCATTTCTTCTCCCTATACACTTGCCATGTCTCATTTCTTCTCCCTATACACTTGCCATGTCTCATTTCTTCTCCCCATACTTTATGTCTCATTCTTCCCCTATACACTTGCCATGTCTCATTTCTTCTCACTATACACTTGCCATGTCTCATTTCTTCTCCCTATACACTCTGCCATGTCTCATTTCTTCTCCCTATACTCTCATTTCTTCTCCCATACATTGCCATGTCTCATCTCATTTCATTCTCCCTTCTTGCCATGTCTCATTTCTTCTCCCTATACACTTGCCATGTCTCATTTCTTCTCCCTCTTATTTGTCTTTCTTCCCTACACATTTATGTCTCATTTCTTCTCCCATATACACTTGCCATGTCTCATTTCTTCTCCCTATACACTTGCCATGTCTCATTTCTTCTCCCTCTTCTCCCAACACTTGCCATGTCTCTTCTCCCTATTTGTCTCATTTCTTCTCCCAATACACTTGCCATGTCTCATTTCTTCTCCCTATACACTTGCCATGTCTCATTTCTTCTCCCTATACACTTGCCATGTCTCATTTCTTCTCCCAATACACTTGCCATGTCTCATTTCTTCTCCCTATACACTTGCCATGTCTCATTTCTTCTCCCTATACACTTGCCATGTCTCATTCTTCTCCCATACACTTGTCTCATTTCTTCTCCCTATACACTTGCCATGTCTCATTTCTTCTCCCACTATGTCTCATTTCTTCTCCCTATACACTTGCCATGTCTCATTTCTTCTCACTATACACTTACCCCTACCAAATGGAAAAATTTAAGAATATAAAATAATCAATAAAAAATTCATTAAATTATCATTGACTCTCATATTCAACAAAACATGTTTTGAAAGAAAGATTGCTGCCAAAATATATATTATTTATATTTACATGTGTGTATATATAATTGTATTCACTCTACTTTCTTCTCCCTATACACTTGCCATGTCTCAAACATATATATATGTTTTTCTTCTATGTATGTGCCATGTCTCTCATTCTCTCTTTTCTCTGTTTAATACACACACATACATACACACACACACACACACCTACCAAATGGAAAAATATATATATATATATATATATAAAATGAAGAAAGATTGTTGCTTTTATATTATTTATATTTAATATATATAATGAGACTTGATAGTTTTGTATGTATGAGGTTCCTTACACAAAGCACAAAAAAACAATGTTTATATATATATAAAATGTTTTTTCAATATGAATGAGACTTTGGGAATTTCAAAATTTTGTTTTCTTTGGGAATAAAAATTTGTTTATATATAGGAGATCAAAAGGTTTCTTCTATTTTTTCTATTGCGAATTCTCCCTAGAAAAACACATTTGCATATAAATATATTGAATTCATTATGTATGTGCACATGTTTACATATATCCATATGTATAATGATATATATATATATATTTTGTGGAAGATTTAAAATGGAGGCATACACATAGACACACACACACACACATATATATATATATATATATATATATTAAAAAGAAGAGAAATACTACAAACTTTTTTCGTTATAATTTGGATTTTTTAACACTTTATTTTCCATATTTTTGCTACACAAGTTTCCAGCCTCATGACTTTCATCTTGTCAAAAAGCGGATATTTCCAGATATTATTAAATATTGTTTTTCAATGTTTAACTATTCTTTTTTTTCTGTAGTAGTAACCCAAATGTTTTTCTTGGACCAGTTTAAGAAAACAAGAAAAATTAACTAAAAATGAACTTAAAAGAAAATTATTCCTTGTCATCAGTCAAATACTGAAAAAAAAAAAAAAAAAATTTTGTTGCTAGAATCTACATTATAATTTTACATATATATCTGTCTACTCTTGTACATATTAATTATATTTATCAATCTGGTGTTAAATTTGACTCCTTTACCAAGTCTTCGAATCCCCATGTTTTACCTGACATTTTTCTCCTCATTAACCTGGTTTCATATTGCATCTAAGTTCAGTGGTACTAATCTATTCAACCTCAGGGACTGCTCAAACTCAAAATGCATGACCTTGAGCTGTGACATACTTTAAACTGATACTTTGCCAAAAATTGACCCTGGAATCCTGATTTGCACTTCTTAATCAACACTCTGTACCATTAATTTTGACTCCCCATTACCACCATCTAAAGTAGGTGTCATGTTTTTTGTGTCTTTTTACTTTACTGTCAACTTATATCCTTCTTATTATTGATAATTTGGTAAAGGCTTGTCTTCAGGAAGCATAGTCATTCTTTATTTTCAGGTGAAACTTTTTTTTTTTTTCTCCTCATTATCAGTGAAATTCTATACTGTGTATTTGTAAGTGAAGAATACATTATGCTTACATTCAAGAATCCTGTAGAGTATGAATGTGCTTCTTGTTTGGATGTGCATCCTCGTCTTGTTGGAATGTGTACCTCAATCTCACTTGAATGTGGATCCTCATGTTATTTTGGATTGTCATCATCATTTCATTTGCATTCTCACCTTTTTTTGGATGTGTATCCCAGTTTTGTTTGGTTGTGCATCCTCATTTTATCTGGATATCTATTTTGAACTTGTTTGCGTGTGCATCCTTATCTCATTTGGATATGTATACTCATTTTGTATCTCTATTTGGTGTGCATCCTCATCCTATTTGGAAGTGTATCCTCATTTCACTTCAATATGTATCTCTCTTATATGCAACCTCACCTTATTTGGGTATGTATCCTCATCACATATCCCTATCTTATTTGGTGTGCATCCTTAACATATTTGGAAGTGTGTCCTCATCTCACTTCAATAGGTATCTCTCTTATTTGGATATGCATTTCCATCTTATTTCGATATGTATTTTTCTTATTTAGATATGCATCCTCAGCTTGTTTGAATATTCATGCTTGTTTTATAAAACAGGCACATGGAAAGAAGATGAAGATAGGTTCCAAGATAAGCTGAGGACGCACATCAAAACAAAGCAAGAACATATTCTAGATGAAGTGATGATAAACATCTAAATGAGTTTCAAAACACATCCAAATATAATGAGGCTGGATATACAGTGATGATGCTGATGAGATGAGGATGTACATCTGAGAAAGAGGAATTGATAAAGCAGAAGGTGAAGAAAAAATAAAAAGAGAGAAAAAGGAATTGAAAATGAGAAATGTAAAGAATATTTCTAAGCTCTCAAAGATTTGACAGTTTTCAAGGAATTGTCTTTTTCTGTGATTTGGCATTCATACATTTACCAACTTTGATATTTTCTATTCCACCCTTTCTTCAGTTTTTTTTTTCCAAATCTGATTAATATTTCAGAATTATAAAATCACTCCCATCATCCCATAACTGGTCTTGTATGTTCCTTGTCTTTTCAGGACATGGACACTTCACAACTTCCTTTCTTTTTGAGCTCTAAGCAATGTTTTTCTTATTCCTTCCATTCTGTGTTCTGACATCAGCTTTTTAGGTTGGTTATTGCCTGTTTCCCTCTGTCCTCCTTGCTTTCACTATGTCTTTTGAGTGTTAAATTCTCCACTCTTTCTTTCCTCATTATACATCCTAGAAATTTTTATTTTTTATCCTAAGTATGACTGTCCTTCTTGTTTTCATTTTCCCTAAAACTTCCTCATTATTCATTTGCTGTCTATGGTATTTTCAGCATCCTCCTGTAGAACCACATCTGTGTTGCAACAAGTATTCTCTTGATCTGTGAGGAATGAATTTCAGCATCCTGTGAACTAGCACATTAATAATCTGGATACTTTCAATAATAAATAATAATAATAATATATTATTATATTTAATATAATGATATATTAATTCATTATTTTTTAATATAGCAATGTGTTAAAAATAATAATAATATTTTTAATAAGGATAACAAGAATCTATGATATTACTTAAGGCAAAGAGGGTCAATTCTTTGAACCCATTACCTTTCCATCTTGGGCTATGATGATAAACTACATCTGCGTCCTGGGTAAGATGATAAACTACATCTGACAGCAAGGCCTCTGATCAGGAGATTTTGAGGAGGAGCATGGAAACACCTCTTAATTGCTGGTGTTCCCAGGTCCACTCTGTTAGGGTCCCAGCTTTGGACAAATAGTTAACCATAAACTGGTGTCAAAACACTATGAAAAGCATAAAAATAGGTTTTAATACCAGCAATACATTTTTGTAAAAAAATATTACCAGCAATACATTTTTGGAAAAAAAAAGTATTACCAGCAATACATTTTAGAAGAAAAAAATACCACCAGTAATAACAAATTTTTTTTGGCATTAAATGACCCATTGAGGTTGATATGCTGTAAAACAAACCAAACTAACCCATTACCTTTTCCTTTTTCACATTTGTTACTAATGGCAGTATGATATAATAGAATATGTGTATGACTGTGTTCCCCCTCACTGGAATATGACTGACTGGTGTCTGTCATAAATACCAATGGACGTGTAAGTATGACAATGTCAAGAGCCTTAGTCTGAGAGCTAAGTCTATAACGACACCCATCGGACTACATCATTGATCTACACTTCTTACCTGTGACTACAACACATACCAGTTGATTACTGCTACCATATTCTACTTGGTTATAGTAGCCAAAACCACTTAGCTACGTCATTCAAATATATCCCTTTCCGGGACATATCACAGTGTTTGGTGGTCAAGCCCAAGGTCAAAGCCAGGACTTCTGAATGCTTCAGAGTAGCAAATACTTCTCTTTTTGAATGTTTATGCAAAACAATCTTCTTTCTCCTGTTTTACATCTGATCAACCTTGTGCCCTTCTAAAGTTTGCTTAGTAAATCAGTATAACTTATACGCTGACGTGCATGAGCAACATATCCTCTGTCTTGTTACTTCATTCTTTTTCTCTTGACAAACTGGTTTGTCCATAATAACCTCTTATAATGAAAGCAAAGCACAACAGGATAATTCTGTGAAGATAAGACATTTTGTGTTTAGTCATTGTCATTATGTGCAAATAACCACCTGCACGGGTGGTATCTTCAACCTTGAAGGATGGCAATAAAAGAAGACAAAAGGCTGTAGCCTGTGTGGAGACTTTATCAAAAAGGAAACCCAGAATGAGGACTTCCGATTGGGAGCCTATGTCCTGAATGAGAGACAATGAAAATAATGGGAAAGACAAGAAAGTGGAAAAAAAAAAAAAAAGAAGAAAAGAAAGAAATTCAGGTGGAATAAAAAAGGATAAATAAAAAGATGATGTGCTTTATGTCAGAATTGAAATTGGAAAATGATAAAAGGAAAAAAGAAGTTGCAACGGGCAGGGAAGAAGGCGAAGGAAAAAGAAAATATGTCATAGATAAAGAGAAGAGTCAAAAAAAAGAGGGAATGATAAAATGGAAATAATAGAAAGGGAAGAGAAAGTATAGAGGAAGAGTGATGTAGAAAAGAAAGACAAAAGAAAGAAAGGATAGAAATGGGGAGAGAAAAATAGATACAAACAAAGAGAGAGATTTTTTTTCCTTAGTCATTACATCCCAAGCAAGGCAAAAATGCCATTAAGACACAAAAGGTTACTGAGTGTGAAGGAGAATGAAAAGACTTGAGAAAGAAGGACAATAAAAAAAACAGGATTCTTGATGACAGAAGATAACAATTTTTTTTCTCTTTTTTTAAGCATTTCACCCCTAGCAAGGCGGGAAGCCACTAGCACGCAAGGGGTTACAGAAGATTTGGAGCAAGATCAGATAGGAGTGATACAGGAAAGGATGAGGAGAAGGATAGTGGATAGATCAAGGCAACTGAGATGT